ATATATATAAATAAATTTTTGTAATTCTTTTTCGTCTCGAAAATTATATGATGTTAATATTAAAAAATAGTTTTTATTTCTTATAAAAATTACTAGATTTATTACGAAGAGAAACACATAGGTACGAGGAAAGATATTTTTACTTATTCGGAATAAATATATTCGATAAACTAAACCTATCGAGAAAAATATCAAAAAGTATACCCAATTTAGGAAACACTTAGAGATCGATGTTATGTGGCAAATCCCACGACACTTCTTGCAAAAAAGAACGAATTTTAGTTTCGCGTCTAGAAATATATTTACGAGAGAAAACTGGTATATCGATTTCGTTCGATGAAATACATGAAAGAAAGAAAGAAAATAAATGAATAAAAAAAAGACAAAAAAAAAGCCAAAAGGAATGTATAAAATAAAAAATGTTAATGTAATATTTTCCTTTATTCCCACAACGATCTTAAATCTTTTGTATATTCAATTTGAAATAATGCATTTGCCTTCGCGAATGAACGTCTCTTAAGTTTTAACATGTTTAATATCTTTGTATATATATTTACGTATATTTAAATTCAAATTTATTTGAATTTTAGTAGAAACTTTATGATAAGAAAATTATATATATATAGAGAGAGAGAGAGAAGGTGGTTGGATCAAATCCAGATGAAATCTCACCTAATCGATTAAACATTGAATTTACGAAATTCAAAAATTCCGAATACCAGCCAAGTAATCATCAAGAATATTTCAATATACTTATTTATTCTATCTCATAAATTTCAATTAAAATGGAATGAAAAAGAAAAAACGCGCGAACACACGTGTATATAAAGATAAAAAATTATTAGATCATACATATAAATCATTTTTTACTTATTATTTATTTTATATTTATTTTTTTTTATTTTCATACAATATATTTCTCATTCCAAAGAGCAGGGTGTCATTTTAAATAATATACATGATTTAAATGTGTTTGATAGGAAAATATGTACGTGTCTTTGATAATATATATATATATATATATATAAAAAAAAAGAAAAGAAATATCAGATATCTTTTCAGTATGGAAGACATCGATATTACTCCGAGTCACACCAACAAAATTCGTGATACCAAGATTTATAGTACCTACCTGATATGAGCACCAACACTATCCACATGATCCCCACCAGGCTCTTCATCATGTCATTGTGTCACGTCCACCTCATTTCTTCTCGCCTTCTTACCCTCCTGACCCCTCAGTTCTCGAACTGCAATAGACAAAAAAATAAAAAAAAATAAATAAGTGTAAAAAAATGCAATTAATTTGTAATTAATATTCGAGTATTTTCAAGTATATTTTCACAACCTCACATACATATAAATATATATATATATTTATATTATATTATATTTTATTTATATTATGTATATTTATACAAGCATGAATGGTATAATTATTTACTTAAAAAAAACTAAGTATTATATTTCGTGTAAAAGTTTATTTAATTAATTTCCAAAAATTCGGAAATATCTTTAAAGTTTTATAAAATAAATTAAAGGGTTAAGGAATTGTAGATCGTACGTAATACGTTTATTGAACGATTCATTAGAGACAGATTGTTCAGAATATCGTTAAAAAAAAATATTCAATGTTATATTCTCTGCAGGATTATAAATTCTGTTACGTATTGAAAAGTACGATAATAATTATCTCACTAACTAGTACATCGGATTATATAAACTTTGCTCATTACGATCTGACGAATTTATGTTAAATTTATGTTAATAAATTCTGGATTCATCGATCCTGAAAAATAATTTACAATTAAGATCAAAATTTATTAGTTAAGAAAGTGTTATTTATTTAATTAATTATTATTGCAATAATATTATTCATTATTATTCAATATATATATTTTTTTTTCTTCTTAATATATTATTAAACCTTGATATTGTTTAAAAATGAAGAAGAGGTAGGTAAATGACTCTCGTAAAGAAGATATCAAAAAGAAGCATCTGGGATTTCTGAATGAAACGAAGAGAAATTGGGAGATCGGTAATCGATGATAAAAGATGTTGGTTGGTACTCAAGCACCTGTCAATTGTCCTTCGAAAAATCTATAAAAGGGTGTAAGTGACATCGTGGTTTCCTGCCTTTCAAACAGTTTCTATCGTTCGAATATCGAATTTTCTACGTCAGTTTCGTGATGTTTTACAACAATTCGGTCTTACGTTTGATCGAATAAAAATAACAACGGAAATCTAAACGTCGATTATACGAAATGCAAAAGTTTATTATATTTTTCTTCGATTTGACTGTTAGGTAAATCAATTGATTGAATATTGTAAATATGATTTGTATGACTATTATTTTTTATTTTTTTTTTTATAATTCATTCTTAGCTAATAATAATAACAAGTCGAATTCATCATAGTCGTGAGTATTATTATTTAAATGTAAAATCATTAAATAAGTTTTTTACTTTTTAATATTTCCTAAATATAAACAAAAAAAAAGACACACTAATACGATTAATAAATCAATTCAACTGGATATTTGATTAAATGACATATTTCAATTTCAATTAAAAAAAAAAAAAAAAAAAAAAA